TGAGAGGGAATTGGAAGAGGAGTCAATCCTACAATGGAATAACCACGGGATGAGCGCGGTGGCTCAGCGGGTTAAAACTCAGAGCCTCAGGCCTTGCAACAGGTAGGTTGCCAGTTGGATTCTCTAAATCCTCGACATCGATGGTGCACGCTCGGTTGGTGCTACTCTGCCACCCGGCTACCTGTCCCCCAGCTGTGCACAGCACGTAGAAGGAACAGAGTATCTAGTCACTGGACAGCAGGGGTCTCAACCGTCTAGGAGCCAGACGGGGAGATTGGGCAGGAGTCGCAGTTCGATCAGCGGGAAGATTGGGTTCACTTTAGGGTTTGTAGGCATCCTTTGCCGGGGGAGGGGAGGGGATGGGGATGTGTTTTTGATCCTTGGAGTAGCTTAGGGCTTAGATGATCAGTCGGTTTTTTTTTTTTTTTTTTTTTTTTTTTTTTCCAATTGCCCTTGTGATATCCCTCTATCCTGGCGGTGGTAGGAGAACCGTCAGAATTGAGGGCTTACCTATCGGCCTGCTCCATCTATTGGTGGGGAGCGGCACCTGCTGGAAACCGGGTCCAGCGTCTCATTTGATACATCGTGAAGCACTGGGATTGATGTTCGTTGTTTCCTGGGCCTGTGGTTATTGCTTACTCATCAGTCGTCATGAACAAATAGAGACAGCTGAGGGTGTGAGTTAAGAACTAAGATCGGGAAAGGGCTCTAGTTTAGCACAGAGCATGGGGCCTATGGGTTGCCACCAGTGAAAGAAACTCGGATGACTACTCCGGTTCACGAAGTGAATCCTTAGCCCATAGCGACTCAGAAGATGATCGGTCATCATCGGATAGCTACTGAGTGACTATACACGGGTTTGACACAGAGAAATAGCTAAGGGTACAAGTTGAGGACTACAGGCTTTAGTTGAGCGCAGAGTGTGGCGCCTTCAGGTTCCCACCGGCGGATAGAAACTAGAATTACTACTCCCTTCCATGAGGGAAACTGTAGCCCATAGCGAATCAGAAACCAATGGCGACTGTACCCCATGGAGAACCAACAGAACATTGAAAAGACATAGCCAAAGTGACAGCTAAGGACCAAGATGGGGGGAGATCTACAGTCTGCCCCCGAACAAAACGCACGTATGTACTATTCAACTTTCGTTGGAAAAGTCCATTTCTCAAATCGGTCCCGGAAATCCAAATAGTACGCACGTATATTCTATTCGAACAGACTGGTGTCCTATTCAAATTGAACATATGTGTGTTCCAACCCACTCCCTCCTCATCGATCCCTCCTCATCGATCCGTCCTCACCCAGGTACTGGGGCCATCCTGTGGGTTCCGTAGAGAGGCTGGTCATGCCTAGCGCCTGAAGCGCCTGTGCGACAAGGCACGTCCGACTATGCTTCAACCAGGGCTGAGGGGAGTATCCCCCTTAGCACCGGTGCCTGCAACAGCTGTCCAGTCGGGTCATCTCACGAAGATGGTGCAACGATGACAGTCCTGAGTGGTGGACACCGAGGTAGGAATGGGGAGTCTCGGTGCCCAGGGCAAGTCGGTGAAAGGCAGCTGGGTGGGTTCTAGTCAGGGGTAAAACCGGGAAAAAAAATAATCAATGCCGGTCGGCCACAAACGGACGGAAGCGTTGTTTCTACACCTATGTCTTGCTTTGGGACTCGCTGATGGTTCCTTGCCTTGTGTCTACTGAAAGGATTCACACTGCAGACACCCCGTCCTGGTCCTAAGGTCCGAACAAATCCCAGGGCCGTCCCGTAGGGTAGCCGTAGGGTCTACAGGCCGAAGCGCCGTAGGTCGGTAGGTGTCAGTACCGAAGCGTCATAGGTTGGTGGGAGTACGTCCGGTACCCGACAAGAAAAGTCCAGAAGCATCCAGGCCAGTCCGACAGTCCCAAGTCCAATTTTGCAGCATGTCCCAGGAAAGTCCGGAAGCTAACGAGCCGACAAAATGTTTGCAGCAGACAGGCCCCGGCCGACCGTTACCGGTCTGAAGCAGGCCAAGCCAAGCCAAGCCCAGCGAAGCCAAGTCCTATATTTACCTGCTTCACTCGTTCAGTTGCGAAATGCGGAAGCGCTGCTGCTGCTTGTGTGTTAAGGCAATTTGGGCACTGTGCGCGGGCGCTTGAGAGATACACCACAGCTAGGCTAGCGGTAGAGCAGGAGGACAGTGGCCATAGCCACCAAGGTGTAAGTTACCTGAGTGGGCGTATCCAGGGTAACGATCCAGGGTAGAGTGAGAGAGAGAAGAGAGAGAGTGAGGAAGAGTGAGTCAAGTCAGAGAGAGAGAGAGAAGAGGGGAGAAGCCATAGCCGCTATCTGGTTGAGATCCGTTGTGCGTGTGTATGCGGCAGAGCCACTGGAGACAAATATTCTTGTACATTGATAATAATATTGGAGATGGCATCTTCAAGTGTTGACTGTATCTCGATTTGTCTTCTCACGGGTGACCTCTCATGTGAATGTTCATTGATGTATGCGAGGTTGACGTTGACGAGTACTCGGCTCATTTCACTACGCCTATGTCTTGCTTGGGGACTTGCTGGTGGAAAGGAACAGGACTGATGCTCCACAGAATGAACAAGGAGAGAGGATCAAAAGGACATGCTTAATTAAAAGAAGGAAAAAAAAAATGGTGTCAGGCAGATCATAATCCCATGGACAGGAAACCGTCAGACAATTAACGTGACATTTTCTCCCCAGGGACCTGTGTCAACAAAAATGGCCCAAGGAGGCAACAGGAGGAACACAGGCAAAGGCTGCAACCTTGAGATTGCTGCTGTAAGAAATGGAACCCAGAACCAGTCCCTCCACAGTTCAAGCAGTGAGGAAAACAGCAGTGGGACTGGCAGCAGGAATGGCAGGTGGATCAGGAGGATGGGAGAGTGACGGAGGCAAAGGAAGAGGAGGACAGGGAGGAGGAGAAAAAGTGCCAGACAAACAACGAAATGGCTCTTCTGTCTGCGTCTGTGTGCTCAATATACCTGTTGTTTTTCTTTTCTTCTCTATGCAGTGGCCGCATCAATTTGCTCATGTTACCCGAGTCGGATGTTTCAGCCCCCCGCTAGCCTGCCCTCCTCAACTACATACCACTGTGTATGCCCATATTGATTACGTTACCTAACCTAAGAGCTGTGTAGTGTCGTGTTCACGTTCGGTGACCGAACCCGAACGTTCGCGACCGAGCACCAAAACCCTTCAAACGCGAACACGAAAAAAAAAAAAACAAGTTCGCAGAAAAATCTGAAAAAAAAATCAAAAAATCAAAAAATCAAAAATAAATAAATAAATATATATATATATATATTGTCACATAAAAATAATAATAATACAAACAACTTTTGCCTGGGAGGTATGCTCAAATTCGTAACCAAACTCGAGTTAAAAATAAAAAAACTAAAAAGTTAAAAACAATTAAGATTTTGTGTTTTTTTATCATTAAAAATTAAAGTTCGACCGAGCACGTTCCGGAGGCATTTGGCCGAGCACCCGAACATGTTCGGGCGTTCGGAAAAGCTCCGAACATGTTCGGAGTGCTACACATCCTCAAAGTGCTTTTTCCGGTAAGTTCTGATCTTTACGGCACTCAATTATCCCGAGCGCACTCGATCAAACTCGATATCGTGTCATTCTTACTCCTTCCTCGGGCAGTGGTTGCTTACAGCCCCCTTTTACGAACTCACAATTGAGGTCCCTGGTTGCAGAAGATAGCAGCACTTCTCCTCTGACCCCTGGGACTTAGTTAAATTCTACTTGTTGAATTTCTCAATCCATCTAAACCAAATCCCCTCATTTCAGATAGTATACCTTTTGTACTACTTCCTCCCCACCCCTTCACTAACAAAGGGGGCTTCAAGCAGCCAGAAGCATAAAGGCACAGGCCATCCTGGGCGCATCAAAGGAACAAGTCATCCTTAGTTCAAGGGATGAGGTTATCTTGCTTATAGGCCCAACCAAACAGCAAGGATCAGAGTGGATTGCAGCCTCCTCACACCGTATGGGAAGCACTGCAGCCTCTTGGTTCATACCACCCCGTGCGGGGGAGTTATCCTCGCTTATAGGCCCACCCAAACGGCAAGGATCGGAGTGGACTGCAGTCTCCTCACACCGTATGGGAAGCACTGCAGACTCTGGGTTCACACCACCCCCTGAGGGGGGGGGGCAGCACAACGACTGTTTGTCACCACTAGGAGAAAGAAAGAAAGAAGACAAGAATACTAATATGCTGCATCCCGGGAATTAATTCTCTCAAAGATGAAACCCCATTGCATCCGCAGCAGCCGAACCAACCGTAGCACGAGGACGGAGGACGAGGAGCTGTGGCAGCTAGTGGGAGAAGAAGAAGTTTGTCTGTCAAATGCTTCAAGCAGCCAAACGCATTGACAGACAGTCATCCTTATTTCCAGCAGCAGACGTAGCAACAGCAGCAGGAGAAGGACGAGTAGCCGCATCAGCCACAAGAAGAGGAGCCATAGGACGAGAAGCAGCAGCAGCTGCAAGGAGAACATGAGGAGGAACACCAGCAGCTCAAAGAAGAGAGAGGATAAAGACAAGCAGCTGGAAGAAGAGGAGCAGCAGTGGCAGCAGCTGAAAGAAGAGGATAAACAGCATCAGCAGCTGGCAGAAACTCCGTTCTGCATGATCTGTCTGTCTGTCTGTTTCTGTTCATACATCTGTCAATCTCTCTCTCTCTCTCTCTCTCTCTCTCTCTCTCTCTCTCTCTCTCTCTCTCTCTCTCTCTCTCTCTCTCTCTTTCTCTCTCTCTCTCACACACACACACACACACAAACACATCACGTGTGTGCTCTCAGTCTCCCTTTCCCTCAGTCGATGCCCCTAAAACTCTGCCTCTGCCCCCTTGGTGTGGCCTGGATGCAAGCAAAGCTCCGGCCCAACTTTATGTGGTGCCCTTTGAACGGACCACTTTTACACAAGTATCTAAACAGTAGGAACAAGTTAGCTTTCCCTATATCAACCTAAGAGCAAGTTAGCAGGCAACAGCAACTATGCTGTTTCATTACACATTGTGGCTGACCCACAAGTTGATCGCTTGATCACTTTGGTTAACAAGTCAGTCGCTAGAATTATGACATAGCCAGTCATTCAATCAATATTAATTAATAGTGTGTTGCTACAAGCATCAATGGAGAAGATTTGGCGATGGGCTCGAAAGTCAAACCAATACAAAACACAGGATACTGACTCGGCCACCAGACAGCAACCAACACAAGTATTCGACACAAATAATCGCATCTGCTATCAAATGTTCCTCACCCACCAGATGTGCATGACACATACTGACTCCCCCATCAGTCAGCAACCAGCACAAGTATTCGACAACACAGCGCTTTTACCACTTCATGAGATTATTCCAGCATCAGCATACAAGTCCATCTAACCGACTGAGAAGGAAACCTACCTTTACCCCACTCCTCTCACCTAACTCCTTCCTTGTCCTGCAAGGAGAGCAATTGAGGGGGAGAGGGGTAAAAGGCTATCCTTGCTGTTGCCACAAGCAAGTATGTCTCTCCGGTGCTCCTTGCTCAGTCCATCTGGCTTTCTGATGTGGCCAGTATAATTCCTGAAGGCGCTCACACACAGCCAGAATGAGCCAGTTAGGGTGAGCGAAGAAGAAGGGAGGGGCATGAGGAGGTGATATTCGGGGTGAGAGAGAGAGAGAGAGAGAGAGAGAGAGAGAGAGAGAGAGAGAGAGAGAGAGAGAGAGAGAGAGAGAGAGGATATGCACCTTAGCATCACTACCGGTAGTGAAGAATGACCTTTTACCTAACATTGCAGAGAAGAGTGCCAAGATACAGACCAGCAGGCAGCTACTTGGTATTGCAAGACATGAGAGCAACCTGTCAGCCCATCAAGCTTATCATTTGCCGACTTTCATATCACAGGCACATGACTGGTAAGGAATGGCCTCTAATCCTGCTTGCTGTCCTTCAAGATGCAGCAGGCTAGCCCCCTCCCTTTTACTATTCACAGCTGGACAACTGGTGCTGTCACTTCGCAAACAGCCAAGATGCTATTTCTCCCTTAATTGGTTATGGCAATGTTTGGGCAGAAGAAACGCCAAACCGTGGATCCTCGGTGATAACAGGACCAACATTCGCAATTGACAGTGGTCATGCAGAGCACAAAACCACGAGGTTGGAAGATGATGACCATACCCCCCATATCCTTTTCAAGACGTACAAGAAACATAAAATTAAAAAAAAAAAACACTCTGCAGAGGGCTTCACCAAAGCTGCAACCACCCAGCAGAAAACCTGCCCGTCAGGAGCACGATACGAGCACTGCCGATTCAGCCTCCCATCGATGAGACCATCTGGATCACTACTTGAGCTACAAGAGGACAAATAAAAGACACAACAGCATTTCACGCGCCACCACTACCTCCGCGGCCATCTCCATCACCGCCAAATTGTGTGGAGTTGCCATTCCAATAGGCATTGCCACCATGAAAGTCATCCTCAGACTGCCTTAGGACATGAACATTTGCTCCCCAACCTGCACCTCTGCGTTGGGTAGTGCCTGCTCCTCCTGCCCCTTCCCCTGTCGAAGAGTCAGTTCTTGCATCTGGCATGTCCCTCGCAATACTGTCGTTCCTCACGCCACCAGACAGCCTGCGATTGACAAGATCTCCATGTTGCCCACCTGCTGCAGCTCCTCCAGGTAAGAACCCCGCGGCAGCCCCACCAATTCTGGCCTCGCCTCCTCCTGCGGCCCCCTGACGACCAGCATTGCGGATAACACTCTCTAATGTGGGGTTCGGTTGATACTCCCACCCTTCTTGCTGCCTCCCTCCTTCAGTACCCGCTCCCTGTGCACCACCCCAAAAATATGAGAATGGGTTGAAATAGGAGAGTAATCTACCTACAGTGCCTACACCCCTCCCCACTCCCCAAAACACCGTACCTAAAAGCCCTGCAGAAGCGCTCCCGCCATCTCCGTGCGCTCCTCCTGACGGTCCTGCATCACCACTGCCATCTCTTTCTCCCACTCTAGCAACTCCACCAGCCATAGAAGGGACAGCCTGCTGCCTCGATGGCGCCTTCCCAGCAATAGGCGTCAAGATGATGGTGGCACGTGGCACAAGCTGCAACTCCCTAAATGTCTTCTCCATGTCATCTTGCCCAAGCACCCTTCTTGGGAAAGGAATCATCATTGCGAACGACTGTCTTTTCTCTGCGCCCTCCTTGGCAAGAAAATCCCACGCCTTTACCAGCTTATCATCTGCACCAAACTCTGCTTTCAGACTGCTACCATCAGTCAATCGGAACTGGATTTGCACATTCTTCCACGTATCAATCAGCACTGAAGATGCAGAGGCTGCCAACGAGTTTCTGCTGCCGCCATTTGAAGTCCCTCGTGTTTCCAGATGCACCTGAGAAGGAGCCACAGGAGCCTCATGGACATAGGCCAATCGATAAGGGTCAGACGAGGCAGGGGCCTCATTGTCCTGATTCTTAGTTGGATCAACTGCTGCAGACATCCTCGTGCAACGCTCTTCTTCTGGCGACTTGCTAGCAGAGGTCTCCTGTCCACCACAGGCTACGTGAACAACACTTGCAGCAACATCCTCCTCATCGTTCACACTCTTCAACGCTGACGATGGCAAGCTGTCGCTACTCACATGTTGGTCACTGTCAGGACCGTGAGAGCATGAAGGTGTCAGCTCATCCACCTCCATCACTGGATGAGCTGAGGCTGAGGGAGGACGAGGTAAACAGCTAGTCGGCGCTTCGCCTTCCTCTCCCATTTGTGCCCTACCTTCTCCCACCGTGGCGTTTTGCCATTCAACTGGTGCTCTATCCGGTCTGTCAGCCACATCAGTTGTCTTTGATACAATGCCTGCTTCAGTTTCACTGCTCCCAGTGCCAATAGCCTCTTCTGTGGAAGCTAACACAGGTGTGGCGGCAGGGTAAAGACAGTCAACATGCCTACTGGCCACTGATTGACTGGCACTTTCATCACTCGGCTCCAATGGTTGCAATCCTGGCAACTCTGATTGGGTTGATGTCGGTGTGATATTAGTGGATTCACTCGCGGAAGATGCTATGTCTATCGTGGGAGGCAGTGGAGAAGGCAAGTCACTATTGTTCAATGGTGATGGTGATGCATGTTGTTCATCCTGATCTGGCGGCTGTGCGCCAGCCTGAGGAGGAGGAGGAGGAACCCCTCCTAAGCCACCACTTGCAGCCAACAGAGCAGCAGCCATGGCTGCAGCTGATGCTGCCAGGCGTTTGACCTGCGAAGAAAAGGTTGCTTCTGCTTCCTCGAGCTTCGTGGCAAGTTGGTCACCTACCACGTTATCTCCTTCAATCCAGGCCAACAAAGTGCCCTGCAGACCGATCACAGCGACCGTGGGGAAAATACGGACGGGATAGATTGAAGAGAATTGTTTGGCATCAACACTATTCTGCAGCAGCTGCAGCACGCAACAGCTCCGCGAGAGAACAGCAATGGCTCTTGGAGAGTCGAACGGGAAGGAAGAATCGTCACACCCATTCTTCCCCTTCAGAGCGTTAATGCCATCCTCTGCCTGGGCAATGTAAACCACAAACATTTTATTCAATCGTTTCGATAGGTCGATCGCTTCCGTGACAGAGCCTTCAAAGAACAAGGATTTCTTCAAGCTGGCTTTTGTACCCGACAAGTGAGGGTAATCTTCACCGCCACTGGTACTCGTAGTGACATTGCCGCCTACCTCTCCTCCGTCAGATCCAATTGATGCAGAACCTCCCTCCGCCAGAGTTGCAGACGACAAACCATGCTGACCGTCAGGTGGAGGGCAACTTCCACACACTGGCGCACCTTGGTCCTCCACGTCTCGCTTCCCATCATCGACATCTGACACACGATCGCCTGCTTTCAAATCTGCTGTTGATGCACCACCCTCCACATCCTTCTCGCCAGAACAATTACCGTCCACCACCATTTCTTCCTCCTTAAAACGATCACCTTCCGCTGCCATTTCTTCTTCCGTGCTTGCCCTTCTTCCAGAACAAACAACAGCAATCAATCACCACTAAATGGAGGCATAAGCTACCCTGGTCTTGGTAATGATGATGTGATTACTGCTTCCCCCTTGCTGACCATCATTCTCCACACCTGACTCCGTCTCCTACATTCAAGGACGACATCATTACATAAGCAGGAATGCTAACACCACCAGTTCATGACCACCATATCAAAGACCGTCTCCCTGTTGCAGATCATAAGCCCTCCGGTCAGATCAAACAAAGCTCGTAGCGGTTCTCACATCCGTAGAAGATATCCGTCCCAAGCACGCCGTACTGCAAGCAGCATCAAGGACACAAACCCAGCCAAAGATTGTGGTATGTAAAACCACGATTTCAAAAACTTGAAGCACGTCGCAGCTCTCGCCACAGATATGCTAAATTCAATACAGAATTATGATCTTTGATGATTTTTTTTTTTGTGTTCAAATCACAGTCTTTCAATTCTTCAATTTTAAGCGTATCTAAAACTATCAATGCAATTGATAGCAAAGATCCTGACAATAGAGCAGCATAACTAAAAATCATCATACTTGCATCAGGAGCCAATTTGATTGGAGTGCCGGAACTAAAGCTGTAGCTTTTTGCATATCTTTAGGTAAACTYAAAATACAGAATCCATTAAGAAACATTGCACTTGGAGCAGTAGTTGCGCCTATCCAAGATACTTTACTCTTTCAAGTCGATGAGAATAAGAGTTAAAATAAGACTCCTGTTATGATCCTGGCCAATTTCGAAGTATACATTCATCAGATAGTACAATGCCGTCAAATTGCAAAAAGAAATGAATGCACTTGAGAGGAGAGAGAGGGTTAGAAGAAGAAGAAGATGATGTCCACCAGCATAGACCAATGAGAATGCTCTTCTTCTTTGCCAATCAATCTCCTCCTCTCTTATTCACACAAGAAATAATAATACAATGTTGAATGGCTGAAACAGAATCACTGTCCGAATCCCTCTTCTACTGCAGGTATCACTTGAGGTCCACCATAGCCACGGCCACCTCTCCCCCTCTTCACTCTCATAGGCCGAGCCTATGGCGGACTACCGGGGCATGGCCCTGCTGCCCATAGGACAACACAAGCAGCTATGGCTGCTCCAGCTCAGGCCGCCATGCCTGACCCTGCCTCGAAGCTTCTTGGTGTATCTTACTCCAACTGGGGCCTTCCTGCTGCAGCACCCACCAAGGTGATGAAGATGGCATCCACCATAGCCAGGTAAGTACCTCCGGCGCTCCTCCCTCCTGTCCTGGTCTTCTTCCTCCTGTTCTTGCTTCTTCCCCAGCAGCGCTGTGCCAAGCTAGCGCTGCTCCAGCCAGCGCTCCAAACACTGTGTCGCCAAACTTGCACACTGACAATGAAGCTGGGCTCTTTGCTCGGCCTGGAGTTATAGCGGCCTGCTTGCGGTGACTTCCAGGCCGCTCCGCCTCCCAAGCAACGGGTACCTCCTCCCTTTCGGAGGGAAATATCATTGCAGACTCTGATATTGCCCGTACAGGCCCTAGACTCGGACTGGTTGGACTGGTACCCGCCTAGACCTAGCCTACAACTACTCGGCCTCTAAAAATGCCAACTTTGGTCTTCTTCTGCTCGGCCTCGAGTACCCGGCACATCTACCTCTACAGGGTGTGGTACCGGCCTACCTGCTACTTCAGTGTTTCCCGCTGCTCTTTCCCTGCCACTCAAGTGTTTTCCCCGCTGCAATCCTCAATGTCACGGGCACAGGTAAGTACTGGCCCTGCGGGCCCAATGAACGAACAAGTGCCCTTGCAGGTCACACACACACACTCAAGCCCACAAGCACTCAGACAGACATGCAGACCAGCAAGCGTGCACACACACAGACTTTGAGAACTCAGTAGCAAGCAGGAAACTCGGCAAGGCATTCAGTCCATGAGCAAAACTCAGAAATCAGCTGTTTGTCTGAGTCCGTGTTTGGTCAGGTCATCAGACTCCAACATAAAGAAATAGATGATTCCTAAAGATCGCATAAAGGAAGATGCCCTATTGTGATCGATTGTATTAAAAGTAGAGCTGTTTGCACAAGAAATCGATAGGTCAGGGCTTGAACCATGTATCCCAAAATAAATCAGTAAGACGATTTCACGGATGGAGGTCGGAATGGGATCGGGTGTTTTCACATCCTACAATTGGGTAAGATGACAGAGTCATGACCAATCAAAAGATACCACCCTCCCCAACTCTGTGTGTGTGTGTGTGTGTGTGTGTGTGTGTGTGTGTGTGTGTGTGTGTGTGTGTGTGTGTGTGTGTGTTGTTTAAGAGGACCCCAGATTCTCTCTCTCATTCCATTCACAAATCACAAGCCATCCATGACGAAAACGTTTAGATAGGCAATGTAATAGCAAATGCAAGGTTGGCCATGTTTGTGTGGTTCAGCGCCAAGTGACCACACACCCGTCTGCCGCCAAAGCGGCACACTTGCACATATACATATGTATACATATATTGTCACATCACTACAAACTAAAAGAGTATATTTCAAACCATCAGGGGATGGACGGCAGAAGGTTACTGACCTAAGACAGAAGACTACTCCAGCAAGAAGGCACCAACCCCACACCCTCAAAGGTCCAAAAAAACTTGGAGAGACTTCAGCATCAACCCACAAAACTAAAAACACATTTATAGAAAACAAACAAATATAACAGCATTGACAATTTGGCATTCCCGACATTCATCTCAAACTACACACCCGCATCGCTGCCAAACAGGAGGAAGAAAATGAGAGAACTTAACTAAGAAAACTCCTCCAGCAAGAACACACCGAACCCCCCCTGCTAAGGGTCCGAAAAAACTGGGAAAGCCTTCCACGCCGGCCCACAAAACATACATTCTCGACAAAGAGAACTTGTGGCCACATGTAAACATCCAAACAGCCCATGTTATAAAGCAGGGCAAAGAATTAGGCCGTGTATAATCAACAAAACCAACAAGACATATCCAACCACAAAAAGAGAGAATAGCTCGCTAGTACAAGACCGATCCTAGCTGCTCAAATCTGCCAAGACAGAGAGCTAGCATGCCCGGAATGTGTTTTGTTCTAAAGGACCCCAGATTCTCTCTCTCATTCCCTTCACAAATCATCACAAGCCATCCATAACGAAAAAGTTTAGATAGGCAATATGATTTCAAATGGAAGGTTGGCCACGTTTGTGTGGTTCAGCGCCAAGTGCCCAGACACTCGTCTGCTGCCAAAGCGGCACACTTGCACATATACATATGTATACATATATATTTCAAACCATCATGGGATGGACGGTCGAAGGTTATTGACCTAAGACAAAAGACTACTCCAGCAAGAAGGCACCAACCCAACCCCCTCAAAGGTCCGAACCAACTTCGAATCCATCTTCCATGCACACGCGCGGCCAATTAGGCCACGCGATGAGAAGATTGTCGGGTCGAAAATTGACCACCCCATACTGATGTTGACTGAGCTGCTCCCATCAAAAGGAGGCAGCCCAGCGACATTCTGGTCTCGATCCCCGTACCCGTGGTGTATCAAGCTCGCACATTTTCCAACTAGGCTAGCTCCTACTTCAAAAGGAGTAGGAGTGCTCTTCCTTATGAAGAACTCCTCACCCCAAAGAGTCGCCCTTTGGCGGTATGGTAGGCTTCGCCTACCTTGCTATGTCACATGGTCGGCTGCTCCTCTTTCAATTGGACGAGCACCCATCTTAGTAGGCCACAATGTTGGGCTTCTAGACCCTCGTCACAAAATCAAGCCCCACACACTTACCTAAAGAGAGGAGCAATTTTAGCAGTCGTGGCCTCCATTTCATCATACCGCGGCTGTGAACCTAACGTGGCCATTAGTTTCGGACCGTTTAGGCCCTAAATCACGTGGCCGCTATTATTGTAGGTAGGATGAGTCTAGCCTTAGCATTCCCACGCCCACACGCCTTCTGACGCGTAGTTGAAAACATAATACAACTAGCTACACCCGTTTATCCCGGACGTCAACACACATCTGAATCTAAGTTAAAAAAAGAGTTTTAGCCTCTCAGTTGTAGATCGGGTCTAACTAAACTTCCCGCAAACACGTCAACCTCATCAAGTCGACATTCACACAAATGTTGAGCAGCGTCCAACGTTCAAAATATCGAGCAGATACCCTTGTAAGGGTTTTTGCTCCAACAACATTCCTGAACCCCATTGAACAACCTCCCCGTCGTTCACCATCAAAATAAGAAATCAGGATCCTTATAAAATTTTCATGTGAGATCAATGATCACAATAGACAACAATTTCAATAATTGTCTGGAACGAAGCCGGACTTTTCAACAAAGCAAAATATTATTACAACAAAAAAACGGATTTCAAACTTGAGAAAGTTTTACTAAACCGTCAAAACTTGGATTTTGCCCAGATCCTACACTTGGCAGCCAAAATGAGGATCTTTTTCCGAATGGTCCCAACATCATCTCCCCCTGGCGACAAATCTAAAAATATTTAGTCTCTCGGAATGGTACCCGAAGCCCTCTAATTAAATCCAAAATGAAATTCATTTGGTTGATACACCCATTTATCCAAAAAAGTCAGGATTAACCCCCTGATGAGTCTTTTAAAAAAAAATCAACCTCCTGGAGTAGTTCGGACAAAGTCCGATCTAACCATTCATAAGAGAATTCATCCATCCAAAGTTCCCCTCCAAGTTATTATCCCATTCTAACAGTTATCATATCTCATGTTCCTGAACCTTTTGTGATATGCATCAAGGAGTGGTGTAATCTGCTTAACGGGATAACATTTGAACATCAAGCCCCGCTTTAGATTCGAGCCTCAACACATTCCCTCTGATTTCAGTATTGTGACTCTATGAATCCCCTGCACATAAGAGTAGGACAACCCAACCTCACACAAACCGAGGTTGATCAAACTCCGGCTATAGAGATAAGGTGACTTGCTTGACACGAGGTTAGGTGATCATTCTTCCCCTCACAGCAAACAGTAGACTCCTACCCCTATATGCAGCGTTTTAACCTGTGCTAAACTCCGGGCCGCCCGGCAGGGGTCCCGGGCGGCCCGGCCGGTTGGGTCCCTCGGCTGGAAGTCGGGCGGGCCCAGCGCATTTTTGCGCAGGGGCGGGGGGGTGGCCTGTTACAATTTGTTGGCGGTCTCAGGAGCCTTCCCGCCCCCCCGCGCGAAAGATTTCCTCGCGCATCTCATGACCGCAGGGGCGGCCTTCGAATTCGAACACCGAGTTCGTCGAAGGTCCGCCAGTGTCCGCCGTCGCTGCCCGCCGTGGAGGTTCCCCTCGCTGCCCGTCGTCACTTCCCGCGACCCGTAGCCGTTGTCGAGAGTTGCCCGTCGTGGAGGTCGACGAGAGATGCCGATCGTCAGTTCCCGCCGCCGCTAGCCGTCGTCGCCGACGTGCCCGTCGTGAGTTCCCACCGCCGCTAGCCGTCGTCGCCGAGGTGCCCGTCATCAGTTCCCGCCGCCGCTGCCCGTCGTTGCCGAGGTGCCCGCCCTGGCGGCCCGCCTTCGCCGAGGTGCCAGTCTCTCTC